GAGTGGCCTGGCCCGCTGCAGGTGGGCACAGAGGGGCCTGCAGCTTTCGGGAACAGCTGGCACAGGTGGGGTGGTCATCGTTCCACTTCTAAGGCAAGAGCTGGCTGGAATCTAAGTTTTCACTGCACTCGTAAATATTCGACGGAGCCCCCATGCACAGAGGGCTCTGCTCCAGGGCACTGACTCTGGCTGAACCCAACAGCTGCCCAGAGCCTGGCCTGCGGGGGACAACCTCAGCTTCAGGCCCCACCTGGCCACTTCCTCCCTAAGGCCCAAGAGCTGCGGCTGGACCCACACATACACAGCATGAAGGGCAAGGGGCTGGGGTGCTGGCTGCAGGTGGCACAGCCAGAGGAAGTGGCAGGCCTGCTGGGTGGGCACTTGTGACGGCCCTGGGCTCTAAGTCACTGAGAGATGGCCGCATTTCCAAAGGGGCCTCTCTGCCCGCAGATTCGCCACCCACCAGCTTCCCAGAAAACACTGAGCCCACTGCCAGAGTCTCTGAGCCTCGTGCTGATGCCCCGCTCACCCACTTGGGAAAGGGGCAGAGTGCCCAGGGGCTTGAGGGCCTTCTCCATGAGGCAGGGCTGGGCTTCCACGGCCAGGCCAGGTGACCTTGGTATCTCCTGCCAGTTGTCACTCGGCGGTGGAGGAGGGCGGTGCCCCTCCCCACGCCCCACAGTGATGGGCACTTGCTGCGAGCCCTCTCCCCAGGCCAAGCCGAGGGACTCAGGGGTCAGTGCCTCCCCGCCTTTGCTCACGAACTCCCACAGTCTCCGGAGCCTTGGTGCCGGGAACCCTGGGCGGCCAGAGGGAGAGGGAAAGGGTCGCTTTCTTCTCCCAGAGCAAGTCAGGGCTCAGGACACTGGGGGCAAGTCCGGCTGTCTCTGGTTTTTGCTGACTGTAGCCTCTCTGTGTGGTGGACAGCGGGAGCACCTGCCCGCCCCAGGTGCGGGACCAGCACACGGGACGATGGTCAGCCCGTCTCCAGAGCGGTGCATCCGTCTCCATTTGCAAGCTGGTCTTGGGAAATGGGTGATCCTTCCTAGCACACAGATTGGCTCAGCCACAGCCCCGGGGAGCCCACGGATGGAATCCTGTCCCTCAAGGGCCCGGCCCCACAGCCCCTGCAGGAGCCCCAGGGGTGTGTGGTGGGGCCAGTCCGGGACTCAGGGCCTCCAGGCCAAGAGCTGTGACCCCACCTCAGGCCACCAGGCCTCACCGACCCGGCCCGAGGGTCTCACTCTGTCGCCCTCCAGAGCTGTCACAATGCAAGAAATTGCGGCAATTTCTCCCTAAGTGCTCTTGTTTCCCCTAATAATCCACGTTTCATCTCCACAATAAACATTGTTAGAACTCTTCCCTCAGCTTTAAATACACATAATTGCTCCTGGTGCCAGTAAAAGGTATTAATTCCACTTATGCATTCCATAAACTTTTAGGATAACGCAACTGATACCATAGTCATGTTGGGACACCTCCACTATTCTTTGCCTGCAAACCTCCAAGGGGCTGGAAAGTTTTCTGCGAATCCATTAGTGTTGACTCAGCCTCGTCCTCCCCAGGAATCCCTTGTCGGGCCTTTGTCCTGCCCGCCTGCCTTGCCCGGAGGGAGGGCTCTCATGTCACAAGACGCTGCCCCCCACCGCACATGGCAAACCCAAGGGCATGGGGCCCTCTCTATGTCCTGAGCCAGCCGAGCCCCCATCGGCTCCCATAGCTACCTCCCAGGCTGTTGGCTGGACCCCAAGGAGCCCACGGATGCCACGCTGAGCCGAGGCTTCCAGCTACGCTGGCCTCCTAGCCTGACTGTAGAGCCTGCTCTCTAAACGTCTTGCTGAGCTGGGTAGGAGGTGGCTGAGCCAAGGCTGGGAAGCCTCCAGATGCCCAGGGCATGGGGCTGTCCTGAAGGGGAGAAGAATGCACCCTGCTCGTTTCCACCGCCAGGAGGGAACAGCTACCACAACACGGCCAGCTGTGGAGCGGTCCTGGGGCAGGGTGGACATCAGGGCCCAAAAGCCAGGCAAGGGCACTGCCCATATTCTGACACCCACAGTACCTCACGGAGGCCACAGAACTGGCTACAGACACCCACGATGTCCTCCTCCATGGCCCAGCCCCAGTGGCTCTGTCCACCCCACAGAAGTACCCATGGGGCACCAGGCCCTGCTCAGACGGTGACCTTTCCCTGTGTCCCCCCAGTGAGTGAGGGACACAGTGACCTGTGTGTGCTGCTGCCCAGGCTCCGGGTGCTGTGCCGTGTGGTCCCCTGCCCAGCAGGGTACCCTGAGGAGCAGAAGCACAGCAGCAGCGCAGCCTGGCTGCCCCCGACTCTGCTCGCAGGCCCTTTCCTGGCTTTAGACGCCTGTGGGCTTCCTGTGGGGTGAGGGTGGTCAGACCCTGGGCAGCCACCAGGGAGGCCACATTGTGCACAGTGCCCACAGGCTGGCTCATGCACCCGGTGTCCATGCCTGAGCTGGCCCTGGGGGCAGGAGCTGCTCTCTGCTGGCCGCCTCCGCACTTGGGACTCCACATCCCCCCGGTGAGGAGCATCATGACACATGCTTTGCTTCCGGACCCGGCTTCAGTGGCCCACGGGTGATCTGCTTGGGGCCCAGGCAGCCCTGCTGATGGGGCAAGCAGGACCTGCCCATGTCCAAGTGCACATGCATGCATTCATGTGGGTGCAAACCCATGCAAACATACATGTACACGTGTCTACATGCACATGAGCGTGTGAGCTGAGGGCTCGGCTCCTGTACAGCAGCCCTGTGGTCCAGGGAGGCCTGCCAGGACAGACGGACATCCGTAGCCGCGAGCCCGTAGTGGGTTCACCGTGGCAGAGGTCAGAGACCCCCTGCACACCGTGGTCACTAGGGGCCGCGAGGGTGTTTGTGCCACTCTGGGAGGGGAAAGAGGCGACAGTCGAAGTGGAATTGTACTTGAGAAAAATAGGAATTATCCGTCAGTTACCAGCCGGCGGCGTGGCAGGGGCCAAGCGCGGCGTAAGTGGCGCTGGGCCCCAGGCAGCAAGTCCGGGCAGCGGCCACACAGTGAGACCCCGAGAGACGAGAGCAGGCGCCACCCACCCGCTTCCTGGGAGGGGAGGGAGCCCGAGGGGGTCTGCTCCTGAGAGCCAAGGTGCCAAAACTCTCATTATCAATGTCGGTCCCACCTCCACCCCTGTGTGGACGGGGCCAGGGAGGGGACCACAGCAGGGGCAGCACCCTCCTGCTCAGCCTGCCCCTGCTGCCGTGTGACTGCCGTGTGGCCGTCAGCAGGGCTGCCTCGGCCCCAAGCAGATCACCCGTGGGCCGCTGAAGCCGGGTCGCGGAGCAAAGCGTGTGTCATGACGCTCCTCACAGGGCGGGATGTGGAGCCCCAAGTGCGGAGGCAGCCGGCAGAGGCAGCTCCTGCCCCCAGGACCAGCTCAGACCCCTGGGGTGCTCTGAGCCCCCCAGCACCCTCGCACAGCTGTCCACAGGAGTCCAGGGGGCTCCATGACAGAATGTCCTGTAGGAGGGACCAAGATCTGCCTTCTCCCTCCAAGGCTTGGGGAGGAAGGACTTAGGGACCTGAGAGGAGTGGTAGTGGACCTCCGGTCGCCACAGGTGTGCAGGCGCAGGACTGCCTTTGGCCCTTCCCGACCCAGACCTCCAAGCTGGGTGCAGGGACAGTGCTGGTCCCTCCCTCTTGCTCCTAGGGAACAGCCTCATAGCCAAGGACCAGTTTGATGGGGCACCCCACACCACACACACACACACACACACACACACGTGGTCACAGCAGTGAAGGCAGTGCACCTAGCTCTGCTGCAGCATACAGACAGGGTGTCACTCAGCTCTGTGACCGCCAAGCCTGACCGTGGACCCCAGGGTGCCTTAGGCTCCGCCCTGCCCCACCCCCACCCCAAGGCCTGGGAAAACCTCAGCCACCACCAGGAACGTGACAGAAACCGCTGAGGGACCCACTTTGTACATCAGAAGAAGGGTGGGGGGTGCTGTGCCTCCTGGGGAGGGGCGGGGGCTGAAGGACGGATAGATTTTTGTACTCTAGGGTCCCACTTCCAGCGGAACTGGGGCTGCCAGAACTGTCCCCCAGAGGATGGGGCCCATGGCGAGGCACCAGGGGCACTGCCTGTAGCCCAGAGATGGACCAAGGAGTGCCGGGCTCACTCCCCGTCCTGCCCAGTGCCCTGTGACCTGCACTCCCAGGCAAAGTCCCCAAGCCTTAGTCTGCACCTCTAGGGGATCTCTTCCTCTCCCCTGCAGCTGGGGCCACTGGCTCAGCCATTAAGCTCCCTGAGTTCCCAGCCCCACATGCCCACTTTCTATCTGCAAAGCCCAGCAAGCTGCTGCCCCTTCCTGTGCCTCAGCTTCCCTGGCTGTAAAATGGGGGCAGTAACAGATGTACCTCGTGGGTGGTTGGGCGGGTCCCAAGGTTACTAAACTCAATGTGCTCAGCACAGCACTGGCTCCCAGAGTTTGCACGTGGAGTGTCACCAAAGTTGCAAAGTCCCAACCCCAGGCTGGGCTGTCCCCAAAGGTGAATGGGAAGACCCAGGTCCTCAGCATCGCGGTGCCACCCCTGACATCCCTGTCCCGAGCCAGCTCAGAGATGACACCCCAGACAACGAGAAGGCAAAGCTCAGATCCGTGCAAGCAGACAGAGGCTGCTTGAGGAGGCCTCCAGGAGCCTCTGCCTCAGCGGAGCAGTAGCAAGCCAGCGCCCCCGCTGGGCACAGAGGGGCTGCCCAAGCCACCCTGTGGGACTTCTGCCCCTGCAGAGGGGACCTCAACCCCTCTGGGACCAGCGTGCTGCTGGCTGACCCTGGCCAGCATCCGAGGGGTGGGCATGCCCAGACTGCCCCGCTAGAGCCCGCCTCCTTCCTTACGCCCCTCCTGGCTCGGGCCGCCCACCACAGTTCCTGGACGGGCGCCCCTCCCCAGCCAGAGCCCACCGCCCACCACATGCTGCCACGGGGCGCAGACATCACTCACCGTCCAGGTGGCGGACTTGGCTGTGCTGGACTGCTGGAAGGTGACCTCGAAGTGGTGGGGGCCGGGGTAGTCGGTGTTGGAGGGGATGACGGGTGCGGGCGACATGGTGTCAAAGGTGGAGCTGGGCTGGGCGTAGGGCGAGTGGGTGGGCACGCTGGCGGCGTGCTCCGGGGTGTAGGGGCTGGCCGGGGCTGCGCGGCTGCTCATCTGCTCCATAGTGCTGCTGAGCAAATTGAACTGGGCCTGGTGGGCGGGAGGGAGGGGGACACGTCGGGCTGGGCTGGGGGATGCCCAGCCCCAGCCCTGCTCCCTCTCTGCTCCGACCCGTCGTCAGAGGTGTCTGGTTACAGGAGCCTTAAAGGGCCAGTGCTCCAAGTCATCCCAAATACTTCCTCGGGGCCCCCACCCCACCCCAACAGGCCACTACTTGTGTCGGGATAAACTGACATATTCACCTCGCCCGCCCCTCTCCAGCCGCCTCCCCCGTGCCAGCGCCTCTGGGATCCACCCAGCCACCAGCGGGGAGGAAAGGGGCCCGGTGCACCTGGGGGCGCTGTCCTGGAGCCCCCGGGCCCCCGGCCAGGCTCAGGAGCATTCCCCAAGGGCCTCAGTCCCTGAGTCACAGCTCAAAGGAGGGAGACCGGTGCCTGTGAGCCAGGCTGGGGCTGTGGGCCCTGGGGGCCAGCTGTGGCCCTAGGTTCTGCTCCAGGTGCTGGGACAGAGCCTGCTTTTCCCATCCCTAGAGGCCCAGGTGGCCACTGTCCAAGGGTCTCTCTAAACTACCAGCCCTATCTCCAGCCAAAAGGCCTTGCCTCAGGGCTGGGCGGCGGCCACATGCCAGGGCCCTCAGGGCCAGTTCCTTCCGTTATGGGGACAGCCCAGCCCCGCCAGGACCACACCCCCAAGGAACCCCAGGCAGTGCAAGTCCTGAGTTCCCTTTGTGGGGTCCCAGGACTCCAGGATGGGTCAGTCCTGCCGGGAGCTTAAGGATACCAGGCCCACACTTCCGTCCTGAGTTGATGCAGGGCAGCCCAGGAGGACACCACTCTCCACCCGCTGGCTTCCAGGGGGAGGCAGGTCGGGAGGACCACACCATGGGGCTGAGCTGGCGGGTAAGTCGGCAACCCCCGCTTAACCCTCTCCACAGAGCTGGGGTCAGTCACACAAACTCAGTCTGCCCACACCGAGATGGGCACCGTCTTTGCTCCTGGTTACAGATGAGCAAATAGAGGCAGGGAGGGGACCTGCCTGGGAGATACAGCAAGTCGCCCAGCAGTGAGGCAGAGAGCAGGGGTTATGCTCTGCAGCGCATCGAGCTGGAGAACCTGCGTCAAGGACACAGTGATGTGGGATCTCGATGTGGGGGCCCCTACCACAGCCCTCCTTGGAGAGTCCCAGGACCTCTTCAGCGCAGGTCCTGCCCACCAGCCTGCCCTCTCCAGGCTGAGGAACAGAGGCACTCCTGGGCACCGTAGATCCCTAACACTCCCTCTGTGCTGGGGACAGCCAGGCTCCCCACAGCCGCCTCCCAGCTGGGCCAGCCAGGTGTCCAGCCCCTCTCTGCACCTTGGTCCCCTCCTATTCAGGCAGGGTTGGCTCAGAGACCCGAGCCCCTCGAGCCCGGCCTGTGCAGAGGGGACATGTCCACTGCTGACTCCATGACAGGGCCCTGCTGACCGTGCACCGGCCCAGAGTCCAGGATGCATGGCCTCGCTGTGCGCCAACACACACCTGCTCCACCTGGGACCCATGGCAGGGCAGGGAGGGGACAGGTGACAGGCAGCTGCTTCTTGCAACACTCCTGTCCGAGCACCCTGTTGTCCTAAAGATAGGCAGGCAGGGCTTTCCTGGTTTGCTCCAGCCTGTGACCGCCACCTGCCACCCGGAGGAAATGTCCAGCCTCAGTGGGGCTGAGCCACAGGTCCAACGCACGCTCCCCCGGGGGACCAGCCACACGGGGGCTCACCACCCGCCCTGGCTCAGCATGCGGCCCTGACAAAGCAGCCATCAGATGGAACCATCGCAAGGCCTTGGGCCAAATCCCTAGGGGCCCATCCCCCGCAGGACAGGGAACCTGCAGGGCCTGCACCGTGAGGCCTCCCCCTTCCTGTGCTGCAGGGTCCCCAGTGTTCACCCACGCTGGGGAGTCACCAGCCACAGGAAGGACAGAGAGGGACCCTGACACGGCAGTGCCACAAGGGTGGGGACGTAGCACTCAGGAGACAGCACAGGCCGAGTTGGAGACCGAGACAGGGGGCAGATGCCAAGTCTGGAGATGCCACCCAGGCCCTCCATCCACTAGGCCACTGGACCCCAAGCACTCAGGGTGACCTACACAGTGTGTGGACTGTGACACTGGCCAGGGACTTGGGAGGGGGTGACGCTCCCCTCTCCAGCTCCTGGGCTGTCTGAGGGGTCACAGCACAGGAAGATGGAAAACCACGAGCCTCCCCCTGGGAGACCCCCGCCCGGCCCCACAGCACTGCCCCAGGTCCCTGCAGGGAAGGATGGTCCCACTCTGCTGGACATCACAAAGACACGCACAGCCCCGGAAACCTCCGCCCTGTCCCTCGGTCTCTGCCCGGCCACTGCTGTGACAGTAGAGCTGGCTCCATCCCCCACCTGGCGCCCTGTCTATCCTGGGGTCTGCTGGGAAGACCTTGCAGGGTGACCCCAGTGGACTGTGAGTCCACGAGGCCTGCGCTGTCCGGATCATCCCTCCAACACCGCGGTCAGGGGCAGGCCGTGTGCGGTGCATCGCGATTGCAGGGGGACGGTCACACAGCACCCTGGCTTGGGATAAGCAAATTAAATCCTGTCTACTAGTTCTTTTCCGTTTTGGCAAGCAGTGAGCAGAGACAGCACATGTGGCCTGCATTCTCCGGCGGCCCTCCCCAGGTGGCCGGGCCTGGGACCCTGGAGACACCAGGTGCAGGTCCCTGAGTGACACGAGGGACCTGCCCAGATCCTGCACACACTCCCCTGTGCCTCGAGCCAGCGTCACACAGAGTACCCGAGACAGCCAGACGGACGCAAGCAGTCCTTCCGCGGACGGCTCAGGGACTGAAGACAGAGTCCAGCATGGACACGGCGCCGTTGTGCACATTTTGAGCTATGGTGGGCAGAATCCGAGGATGTGGAGGCCGCAGACACGGCCGAGCCCAGCTCTGTCGGGTGGCAATGGTCACACCAGTCAGCACTCAGGCAGCGCGGGTGCAATCAGGAACCGGCAGAACAAACGAACGAAGGAACAGATGAATGATGCGAGGGCTCTAAAGTGGGCGATGGCTGCCCCTACGGCGGTCCCCGGTCGGCCCCCCCAGGAATGCGCACAGGACACGGGTCGCCTCTCTTGTCTGGATCGTGGGTGGGCTGGGGGCTGCAGGGCTCCACCTCTTGCTTTTGCCAGTGCCCCCCACGCAAGGACGGCCTGGTCCAGGGAGGCTGGTCCATCTGGGGGCCTCTCTGCTGCACCCCCGCCACAGGGCGCCCCAGGCTGGCCCCAGGCCGGCAGGGTGGGAGCTTGGGCCTCCTGGTTCCGGAGAAGCAGGGCGCAGACCGCGACAAGGAGGTTCATATTTTAACTTGTCCGCATTCTTTGATGATCCGAGGACAGTGCCAAGGCATGAGTCACTGCGCCAGAGGGAGGCGCTGATAGGATGGGGGGCTCTGCAGGAGGGCAGAGCGGGGAGTCACAGCGGGGGTTCTCAGATGAGCAGAGGCATCCGCGGGTGCCAGCACCCCAGGCCCTCCACAGCGGGCTCTGCCGTTTCCCACCCTGCGGCCCAAGGAGACCCCTGTCCCAGGGGCACAGGCGGGCAGGGTGTCCCGCCATCCTGCATCCCTTGCCCGACTGCTCAGTGCTCCTGTGGCCCCAGGAATGTGGGTGATTTTCTGCACCGTCTGCCTCCGGGTTTAGGGCTCTGTCCTGGGAAATTCCCTATGTCCTCTGCCCGCTGTGGCGCTCTCCCTGGGGCTGCTCCTTCCTCGCCTCCCGTTCAGCAGCTGAAGCAGGACAGTCTCCTGGGGATCCCTGACCAGCCCATGTGGAACCTGGGGTCCCCCAGAGCAGAGGGCCCAGAAGCTACAGCAAGACCCTCTTGGCATTGGGGAGGAACCCCAGTGAGCCCAGGACGTCTTTGGTTTGTTTGTTCTCCATAAGAACTACCGACAGCGGGCTGATTGGGGCATGCCCGGCCTGCGGCGGCCCACATGTACCTACACGCATGCGGGGCCTGGGCGCGACCCAGGAACGGCGGAACCCAGGAGTCACGGTGGCCTACCTCAGCACCCAGGCCGTGCAGGCCCCGGCCGCGCCCGGATGCCTGGGGTGGGGGACGCTGCAGCCCCTTCAGCCCTGAGAGGCGCACTCCACGCCCCCCGGGCCCATTTGTAAGACACACCATTTGCTCTGCTTCCTGTCCCCTGGGGTGACCTCATGCCTCCAGGTGACAGCACACTGGTGACCTTACCCCGCAGAGGACAGCCAGGGAGCAGGGCCAGTGGGGATGGGCAGAGTCCCAGGTCCTAGGCACCTCTGGGGATCATGAAGGATGTGGATCCCCCTGCCCCTGGCCTGGCCTTCCTGGGCAGAGCTCGGCGTAGCTGCAGCCCCCGGCCCCCTGGCTGGACACCTACCCCAAGCCCCTGGCACTGTCTGTAGGGACTACGGCCCTGCAAAGCACATGGTCCACTCTGCCACCCTCAAGGACAGGCGTCCCTGCTGCCAGGTCCAGACTGGGCACTGTGACCCAGGCTGTGTCCTAGGGGCAGGAGAGGGGAGGGATAGCAAGGCCTCCTAGGGGCCAGGGGCCTCAGCTTTCTTATCTGCAAAATGGGGAGGGAACCCACGGCTACTGAGTGGGGCCAGTGAGGGACCAAGGAGTCCCTAGTCCCCTGGGTCCATGGCTTCTCCTCAAGATGAGCAACCCTCACCTGGTACCAGGAAGCCAGTGTCTTGGGCACCCTTCTGGACGCAGCACCCCATGGCACTGGCACAAAAGCCCAGTGAGGGGGGTAGAGGTTGGGGCCCGAAGACAGTTGCCACACACGGACACAGGCTCCATGGAGCAGCAGGCGCCCTCAGGAACAGACCCTGCAGGAGTTGGGGTCTTTCCTGTCCCTGATGTGTCCAGGTATGGCTGGCACCTGGCACAGAACTGGGCACTTGGAAACTCTTGGTCCAAGGGTATGAGCCCTGACTTCCAAAGACCAGAAACGCACGCAGGAGTTCTGGCCTCCTG